AAATGCATTCTCCTACCATACATAACAAATTAGAACAAATAAATAAATTTTTAAAAATTTAAAAAATTAATAAAAAAGAAGTTGTGCGACCAAGTCTGACATCAATGGACAAGAAAGTACATTCATACCATGAATATGGAAGGAAGGGAATAGATTACTGGATGTAAAACCCACTGTCATCTGTTAAAATAATGTTAGATTTGGATTATAATTTCAAATATACAGTCTGCATTTTCAATTTAGACTTACAATTTCAAGGTCAAAGAGATTGGAATTTCTCAATGATATGGGGAAACTTTTAGAGAAATTTATATCTATTATATAGATACTCAACTTCCAAAGGGATTATGATCCAATAAACCCAGGGCATGCTCCCAGTGACCCACCTTCTCCAGCTAAACCCCACCTGTATTTAACTCTGATCATTCCTGCATTGACATAGGACCTTTGGAGGAACACCTCATATCCACACCGTAACAGTAGACAAAGACCTGAAGCTCTAGTCTGCTACATTTCCAGAGATGGTTACCTCTTCTCCTTAGCTTACATAAATACAATTTTAAAAAGGCAAAATTTTAGGAGAAAACAATTTGTGTCCTCCATACTCTGCACTGCCTCTCCTTTATAAGAATAAACTGTGTTACAGGTAGTTGGTGGTAGTATTGATAAAGTGCTTATTTGAATTGGATGGAGGTAGAGAGAGAAGAAAAACAAATATTGCATTTGATGAAACCCATTGTTCATAGCTCCTTTAATGTGTAGGCATATGTACTGATTTACTTCTGATGAGTAAGAACAAGTAAAATACTCAAAAACATATGACACAATTTATACAGTGTTTGTATATATATTTATTTATGGCTTCATCTGTACCAAAAAAGAAATTATAATGGTTTTGCAAAGACCACAAGTCTTTTACGTATGAGTCAAAATATCTGTTCCATGTGGTTTAGGAATATGTGTAAAGCTTCCATATGGGAAAATGATTTTTTGATAGCTAAATGAATGAAAGAATCCAGCATCAAAGCAGGTACTGAAAGGTTTGACAAATAGCACATACCCTAAAGCTTATAAATTCTGTTTTTGATGTTTTCACAACTACTTTGAAATGTAGTTTTTGCTAAAAACCCTGGAGTTTCATATATGATCATACTGCATGTACAGTACATATAGGTACTGGTATGTGGTCGTGCTAATCTGTTTCTATTTGCCTTGAGTTTGCATGCCCTAGTAGATGCCCTGCTGATGGACTCTTGTTCTCACAGTGAAACTAGAGATGCCAACTCTCCCGAAGCAAGTGCCAAACCCACAGAATAACTCTTATATGTTTGATTTATACAGTTTATTTCCCCAAAAGTGTTTATTTTAAATTAACTCCACATTGAAGTGAGTGATCATGCTGTTGGCTGACAGACTTAGGTTAGGCTGACTTTGTCTTAACATCATCAGTGACAATAACAAAAAGAGAGGGAGAGTACCAAAGGAACAACAAAAATAAGCTCATTAAAAGAAACCAACATTTCATTAAGAATAGGATCGTCATGTAATGTGGACCTCGTGTTCCTTCCCTGGGCCATGTGGTGGGATCCGTGAAGTACGTGCATTATTGCCTTAGATCCCCTTTTGTCCACATGCTACCCTGCAGAAGTCCCAAACCAAGGCTCACAAGCTGGATTTGGCCCATAGCAGTGTTTCATTTGGCTTTTACAATGTTTAAAATATTTTTGAGCCAACATTTTGAAATTGGAAGTTTTCACATAAAAATCCAGATTTCTGGCACCTCTGAAAAAATTAAGCTCTGGGAACACTGAACTCACATCACCACACAACCATCTATGGCTGCTGGTAACCCTTAGACTGGCATGTGTTCTCCATAGTCCCCACGGGTCTTGAGTTCTTCACAACACCAGAACTGCACTTGCTCTATTTCTTTTTTAGTAGTAAATCCCGTCTGTCTACCAGTGTCTTTATCAGACATAGGTAAACACAAGGCAGAGTTAAATTGTTAAAATAGATTATTCTTTGTGCATCTCTTCTTCTTTTCTTTTGTCGACAGTGAGAGACGATTTCACTACCCTGTCTCCAACGGACATTAAATGAAAATCCAAGGAACTCTTGATCAGTGTAAGTACTGCAGGGTTCTCAGAGGCATCTTGCTGGTTTGCTTTTTCTCCTAGAGGTCAGGTAAGACCAGGCTAGGGAAAAGTGACAAAGGTAGAAAGAGAATGTGCCAGTTTTGGGTTCTGAAGTTCAAACCCACCCTTGTATAGTGCTTTTTAGGGCTGGGGTCTGGCCTCTGCAAGTCACCCTTTTGCTTTACCAGCTGCTCCCTGTCGGTCTTTGCCACTAGAGCGTGCAAGAGGGAGGCTGCAAGGCTCAAGAGGATGAAGAAACTCGCTCCTTCTGGTTGGTTCCTGTGAGCCTCTTCGTTGCTTGAGGTTCTCATCAGCATCACCCAGCGACTTTCCTTCACCTTGACAGCAGCAATGCTTTCAGGACAGGAAAGCCCAGTGCAGTTTGGCTGTTCATTTTTCATTTGCAAAGCAAGCTTCCTCGGGCGACTCCCTCTTCTTCCCTATAAAGATAAAACCCATAACAAACCTAGTTTGAAAGATCTAAGTGGCTTCCTCTGACTCTAAAATTGGGCAGTAGACTCATACTAAAATGGTTCAGAATGCCCCTTCCCGCCACATGGACCGGTTATATTTATGGCAACAGAAAATGGAAGTGACGTCTAGGGTGACTGGTTGCCTCCTGTGTCTGTCTTATTTGAACATGGGCCAGCTGGTGGCTTGTGATTGGCTGAGAACCAGTGACTCCTTACAAGAGTGGGTAACAGTCTGTACACACATCAGGTTAGCTTCCAGATTGTTATGTACTGAGAAACCTTTAGGCCAGACTTAAAATCCATGTGGACAGTTTTTGGACAAACTTAATTCAATGAAAATCTTCATTCCTCTCTTCAGAGTTCTGGATCCCAACTCCATGAGCCTCTTTTCCTGTTTAAATACATTTGATTGATACAGTTTCTAAGTTTAACTAGACTGGATTTTTCTTTTCTTTTCCTTCCACTTGGGAGCTTGGCAGCTACTTGCAGCAGTTGATACTTTTGTGATGCCTGAGAGTTTTCTTTTTTCCTCTAGTTAATTAATTTATACAGAGTTTACAGATACTTATGATATTTCATCTCTGTTCAAATAACTCCTTCCTGACTGGGCTGTGACTCACAGAGACAGGGTTGATTCCAGGAGTGTGGTCTGTTAGGGTAGCTGCTAGTCACCTTGATTATTTAGACACAAACTTAACTATAAGTAAGTAACATTAACTAACTCAGTTTCTCATTTACATTGATCCCATTTCATGGGCTCAATAGCCACATGAGGCTGTTTTGAACTCTCAATCCTCCTGTCTCAGCCTCCAGAGTAGCTGGGATGATAAGCATGTGACATCAGGCCAGACTCTGGTAACCACTATTCTGTTCTCTACTTCTATGAGATCTACTTTGTGTTTTCTGTTCTCTAAATTCTTGAGTTCAAATGTTTGTCTTACTAATCTTCACACTTTCACCTTTTAGAAAACATTTTAGGTAAGTCTCTCAATGTCTATCTAAGCACTACTTTACTTATAATTTTTAACCTAAATATGCAATGTTTCCCTATAATCTCATTGTCATAGCATTAATTTTCAAATATATGAGTTTTCTTTTTTCTTTTTATTTCTAACTTAATTGCATTGAGACCAGAAAATCTCCCTAGAACTTCCAATCTTTTTTAGAGAAGGGCTCAGCCTGCGTCTCTTCACTTCATTTTCTGGTTCTAATGAGGATCTCCATCTCATGTTTCCCTCTCTCGTGGGGGCCTTCTCATTCTTCCTGCACAGCACTGTCTGATGGGAGGTTCTGTGATGACAGAAATGTTCTATGTCTGCAATGCCCAGTGTTTCACATGTCTAGCAATTAGAGAAATGCAAATTAAAACGTCACTGAGATTCCATCTCACTCCTGGCAGAAGAGAACTTATTAAGTAACAATAAATGTTGGGGAGGATGTGTGCTGGTGGGACTGCAAATGGGTACAACCCCTCTGTAAAGCAGTATGGGGATTCCTTAGAAAACTTGGAATGGAGCCACCATTTGATCTGATTATCCCACTCCTTGGTCTCTACCCAAAGAACTTAAAATCAGCATATTATAGTGATGTGGCCACATCAATGTTTATAGCAGCTCAATTCACAATAACCAAGCTATGGAACCAACCTAGATGCCCTTCAACAGTTGAATGGATAAAGAAAATTTGGTATACATATACATACAATGGAATATTACTCAGCCACAAAGAAGAATATAATTATGGCATTTGCCAGTAAATAAATGGAACTGAAGACTATCATGCTAAGTGATATAAAGCAGTCCCCCCAAACCAAAGGCTAAATGTTTTCTATAATCTGTGAATGATAACTGACAACAAGGGAGGGTAGAGAGGGGAAGAATAGAAATCCATTGGATTGGACAAAGGGAAATGAAGGGAAGGGAGTGGGAAGGGGAATAGAAAGGACAGTGGCATTAATTGGACATAACTTTCCTCTTCTTGTATTTGAATACATGACCAGGGTAACTCCGCATCATGTACAGCCACAAGAATAGGATCCTAATTAGAATAAATTGTACTTCATGTATGTATGATATGCCAAAGTACACTTTATTGTTATATATATATATAAAGAGCAAATTAAAGAAAAAGATGTGCAAAACCTCTATACATTATTGAAGGAAGTTTTAAAAGCTCTAGATTAATGGAAAGGTATACTTTATTTAATATTTTAATTTTCTCCATTGATTTCAAATCAGTGAAAATTTAAGCATTTTTAATGCGCTTACATATATGTGCATATAGATTATTTGGGCAATTCTGAACTTTATGGACATGGAATACAAAAACAAAAACAAAAATAGCATAGGCAATTCTGAAGATGAATAACTATGTAAGATGACTTACCTTATCAGATATCAGGATTCTATATCAAAGCTTGAGTAATTCAGTTCGTGGATTGTGAAAAATGTTATCCTCTTATTTGAGCTTGAGATGTTTCATTGCCTGTTTTTGTTTGTTAAAAATATCTTCTAAATATTCAAGTCTATCTCTTCTCAATCTTCACTACTTTACAATGTTGAGTCCTTTGTGTATGAACATAGAAGGAAACCTTTTCTGAAATACTGCTCTTGTTTCCACATTTTCTCATGAACATAGAGTAGGGCAAACTTGATTATTGGTTTGGAACAAAAAACTCCAACAGATTAATTAAACATATCTTTAGGCTTTTGAAAATGTAAAAGTGCTGCCTGTGAGTTATTATTAATTCATTTAGAACAAGACATTTTCAATTTCCCAGATTCCTTACTTTAATCCAGCTTCAAGGCTGATTGATCAGTAAAATGTTACAGATTTATTAGTCTGTTATGCTAAGTTGTAGAGGTATTATCTTTGTGGACAAAAAAAAAAGAGAAATGTGGTCAGGAGAGTGCATATTTAGGAGATTTATAAACTTTGAGTGACAGTTTGTGCCTAAAAATTAACATTTTTGACTATCAGGAAGTTGCTGGTTATGTGCAGCAGGTGTTTGAGAACAATGTTGGTGTCCTTAGGAAACATGAATTTAACACGGACTTTGGAGGTTTAGCTAGTATATTGGATGACAGAATGGAGATTTAGAATCATGTTGAAATAAAGGATCAGGTTTCACAAGATGGAATGTAGTGAGATTAATGTAAATCGCCTCAAAGAATCTGAAAATGAAATGCACAAATATAGTGAACAAGAAGTTTCTCAACCTTAATTTATAACAAAAGGACTAGGAGTATGTGTCAGTCATGAGTTTGGGACAAGTTAATGATGCAGCATGTCTGCTTAAAACCTAATTCAGCCTTAGGAAATTAGCTCATATGTGTTTGGTAACTGACATTGATGTTGTGCCAGCACAGCACAGGTTGTCAGAAGAGGGACTAAGCACAGCCTTTTGCAGGAAGGTAAAGTCCTTCAACATGACATCTGAACAGCAAGAGCCTTTCAGTTCTATTTTATGACAGTTTATTATGATCATGTCCATTGCAGCTTGACTTAAGACAGGTTGCAATTCTTCCTCTGTCTGCCTCAAGGTCAGCTCACTGAATCAAACTCTAATTCTATGCATTTTCTTGCAATGGATAATCTGAATTTTCTAGTCTATTATTTTTGGGTATTTTTAATATATTTTAAGGCAGCTTGTAGCCAAGCAGAGGTGCCTGCCTGTCTATGCAGCAATTTCTAAAGGTCCTTGTTAGTACTTTAGTTACAATTATTTTTTGTTTTAATGGTATACATTTGATATTATTTTGCTTTTAAGTTCATTTATTTTGGTGTTAGAGCCAAATCCTTGTAGATTAGTGGAGATCTGCCCACACAAACTAATTTGGCATGTGCAATTGATTTTTGGAGTCATAAACATAATTACAATTATCTCACAACTTCTAGGATTTTTGCATACATAAAAGCAAATGTCTTATTTCAATTACCACTCAAAAAGCCCATGTTCACATTTATACAAAATTTGAGATATTTTAAGGGTTAACTTAGTGAACATGTACTTTTTTTTTTTTTTTGACTTTCTTCTCTCAATATACGTTATACAGCTAATAACCCCAGGGTAAAGAGATACTTCAATCCAAGTCTATCTAGGAAGCTTGGCCTAAGATAACGTCATTTATGGTTACGGAATATCATTGTTGTACAAAGTAATTTTTTTGTGGTTGGCAGCCTTAAAAGTAGGGTTTTCTGGCTGTGTCCTTGGATACGATATCATAAATATGGAAGGATGAATTGCAATACAAACTGCAATTAAAAAACTCCAGTATGCTTTGTCCAAATAAAAGAATAACCATCCAAGTTGTGAAGAGATATATCTAAAGTATTTTAACTTTCATAGTTTTTAAAAATCTTTTTTCTACACTTATAATTTTCATGGTGCTGCAGTAATCTTCCAGAATCAACAAATTTGTGTTTTTTGGTAGAATAATTGAGTTGGGATTTTTTTCCTCTAACATGAAGTCAGAGTATTCAAGTTACAAGCCCATGGGTTAGATCTTTGAGTAGGGACGGCTGATTCCTCCCTTAAGTTACCCTTGGCATCATGTAGATATAACAGGATTTCTGCTTTTTTTTTTGATAAACAGTTAATTTCCCATTATTCAGGAGCTCATTATACAACATTGTCTTTACCTTTTTGTTCTCTTAGGTTTTGCTGCTGACTTTTGGCCATAACTTTATGCAGAAGCTCCTTTCACCTAAAAGGGGTCAAGAAATTGATCATTTTACTCAATGTCAACTTTAGGAAGTTTATGCAATATGAAAACATACACAGTTGGATACAGAAGCAATTTAATAGACAGTTGAACATGAAACAACATATATCAGCAAAAATGTTCATCTCTCTGTGCCACTTAAAATGGGAACTGATAAAAGCTCTTACTATGAGCACTTACTACAAGCTAGAAATTCACAAACATTATTGCTAATCCTTACAGTAGTATTAGAGGTAGATTTTTTTTTTACCTTTATGTTGGAAAATTAAGGCTCACAGAGATATTGTAATTTATCAGAAGTTACATATTGGTCAGGTAGCAGAGCTAGGATTTGAATCCTGGTCTTGCTGACACTGAGGTCCTTGTACCAGATTGTCTCTTGAGGATGGACTTATCTTGCTTTATATTTTAAGAAACAGCAGTGACAATACCTTTGGTTCAATGAAGGCTTGCATGAGTTTAGGTGGAAATATGATGTTGTCACTGTCTTTATTGGATATTAAAGATATTTGTGGTAATAGGATGTATACTGAGTTAGAGTTTACAAGGACATTGTCTAACATTGTGACATGCGGTTTGTTTCAGTTTAGCTCCAGCCAACAGGCTGAAGATCACATTCCCCTACATCTCTTTCCCTGTTTGGTGCTGGGTTAAAATTTTCCATTGAGAGAATTTCAGTGAAATTTGGAGGCTCTGAGTGACATGGAAGCTGGGAAGGTCCTGATGGCTTACAGACATCTCCAGAAGCTTCTACTTTGTGGTTCTAGTGCTTTCTTGGGCTTCACTGGACCATGTTTTCCCTAGGTTGTGGCCAAGAAGATGGTTTCCAGACTTTCCCATAAGGTCCACGACATGGGTTGGGTCCATTTCTTGGTTCCCTGGGATCAACTGCTTTCTACTAAGAAAAATTTTTTTTATTGTTGGTTGTTCAAAACATTACATATTTCTTGATATATCATATTTCACACTTTGATTCAAGTGGGTTATGAAGTCCCATTTTTACCCCGTATACAGCTTGCAGAATCACATCAGTTACACTTCCATTGATTTACATATTGCCATACTCGTGTCTGTTGCATTCTGCTGCCTTTCCTATCCTCTACTATCCCCCCTCCCCTCCCCTACCCTACCCTTTTCTCTCTCTACCTCCTCTACTGCAATTCATTCCTCCCCCTTGTATTATTTTTCCCTTTCCCCTCACATCCTCTTGTATGTAATTTTGTATAACCCTGAGGGTCTCCTTTCATTTCCATGCAATTTCCCTTCTCTCTCCCTGTATATTCCATCCATTTTCACCATAATGCATTTTATTTTTCTGACTAAACTCAGATTAATATATTGTATGGTTTTTCATATGTTTGAATAGATTATAATCAGGTACCAACATTTCACTTTGATTTAGGAGTGAGGAGTAAGATAGGAGAAATAAGAATGAGCAGTCAGAAACAATCTAAGGTTTAGAAGAATCTAAACTGTCAATAGTTCCACTAATTATAATTATCCCTTATATAAAATCATACATTTGTAGTGTGCATACAGTAATTTCATCTTATTCATAAAACTTCCATTGAATATCAATTATGAAAAGCCCTAAACCAGGTGTACTTGAAAATACAAAGAGAACTTATCCTTACTGAGTTTACTATGAGTTAGAGGTTCAGATCTTTAACTCAGGCTGAGACTAAATAAGTCACAAAATGATTCCAGTATCTGAGCTACTATTCTGACTTGTCTGATTTCAAATCTCCTTTGTTTTTTCTATCTACTGTTCTGAGCTACTTCCTACCCTCAAAGAGTTATTAATTCAACTGAAATTGATTTAGAAAAGACAACAACGTATGTCTTCTTCTTTTTGGTGATTTCAAATGGAATCTGTTAAAAGCTACTCAGAGTCAAATTCACTCTCATTTTTTAGCGATTTTTATGTATTTAGACAGTCATGGTTACAAGCAATTGCCTCGTGCAGCTAACCACATAGTTTGCATTTGCTCAGCTTTTCCCCTTATATTGATTTGTTGAAAATAAATTCCAAATCAAAAATTTATTATACCCATTGAAACTGGTCAAAAACAGAAAAATAGAGGAAGGTAAGGGACTTGGTTGTTCTCTAACAGTGGAGCATTTGTTATAATATTTCAATAGAAAAAGAAAGATTTTTCTAAGGATATTAGACACAAAATGTGCCTTGATAAGGCACATCGTGAACACATGTACTTCTACAGTATCTGTCTAAAGAATGGAGAATTTTTGGAAAATGTTGATTTCCAAATTAATTAGCTTCTAGGTGAGTCCACTAAACTTTAGAGATAGAAAGTTATGTAGTATAAAATGAATGAGTGGTGAGAGAAGATAGTGTTTTTAGCAAAAGCCCCCTTTTACGTACTCAACAAAATGATATTCGAGTAAGCAGAAGGAACTTGGCTTTATATTTAGCATTTTTCCATCCTTGGCCTCAGGAATTCTAGGCTGCCAAACTTGAGCTTTCAGAAACCTACTGTAATCCTGTTGTAAAGAGCAATTTAACGTACTAACCTAACGTGTAGAACTACTTTCCTCAAATTGGGTACTTATGCTAAAACTATGAATTGCAAGCAGATTTCACTTACTTGTTCCAACAAATCTGAACCTATAGACAGGGTTCTGTTTGGAGAGTACTGGAATTCTAAGAAAATGGGGATTTAAGAGAAGTTTGTCAAAATGCATGTATTTTATTTCTTCTAAGTAGCAGGGACATGGTACTAACAAGTTTTACTTGAGAGAAGGATCTTCTCAGGAATAATTCTCATGCTGTTCTTGACCTCAGAACTGGTGGAAAAATAGCTGTATGGCTTCCTAAATTTTGTGCCTATTCCACCACCAAAAAGATCCTTATCTTTTTGGAAACCAAACTTGAGTCTCTTTCCCTTCCCAAATGAGTGACTGAGCAGAGAAAAACAATAAAATGCTGGAGATAAACATGAAAGCAATTAGTGGACCTGACCACTTTCTAGACTGTGTGGTCAGAAAGTGTACCTGCTTGCATGAAAGTTTGCCTTTTGAAAATTACTAAATTAGTGACCTATAAGGACACAGACCATGATACATAACGTCCTTAATCCTCTCTCATTATGAGAAGCTGTTCTGATTTGGCATACGAGGAGGAGGAGGTAGTGACACCGCTGCAGTGTTTTACCACTTCAGCCCACATACTTTCTCAGAATTTAGCCTGACTTTCCTCTTCATGGTTGCTCTGCTCTCTGCTCACTTGATATCTGTCACCTCGTTTTGGATAATGACTTTTAAAAACCATTGGTCAACCATAATTCCAATTGGTAAACACAGATTGAATGTAGGTCAATGGTTGGACCTGTAGGATCTGACAATTCTTTCTGATTTAAGGCTAATGACTACAAAGTCAAGCTAGTTTGTGTTTTGTTTTTGATAGTCAGGATAAATAAATAAATATATATAATATATATATATATATATATATATATATATATATATATTTAGTTGTTGGTGGACACAATACCTTTATGTTATTTTTATGTGGTGCTGAGGATTGAACCCAGTGCCTCATGCATGCTAGGCAAGCATTCTACCACTGAACCACACTTCCAGTCCCAAGAGATAGATCTATTTTTAGTCATCATTTGAGCTTACACAATTTATCAATATATGATTCTGTTGTTAGTACATGCATTAGATCTATGCTCAGTGCCATTTGGGATTACACAGCTATAGAAAATACACAACCTTACAGAAAATAACCTTCCAAAAATACACGAAGAAGTGAATTCATCAAGAATTGGTGATGTCTGCAGAAGCAGGGATGCTTGCATTTGTTTATTCATTTGGACAGTTGGTATGATAAACAAACAAGAAAATTATTGGTAAGAAGATAAGAAAGGCTGTGTTAGGCTCAGTTGACTAAGGAACTAGTTTAGCTTAAGTGACCGAGGGTGTAAAAGTGGTGTGTTTGAGGAAGAGATACTAGTGGGTAACCAGTGAGTGAGGGAGGGGATGGTTGGGCATGGGTCAGGGTGTATGGGTGGGACAGATCATGTAGGGCTTGGTAAACCAGGGCCAGTAAACTGGGTTTTCCTCTGAGTCTGGTGGAAGACATTGGAGGAAGTTAAACATGGCATATAATCTTGTATAGGTTTTAACAAGATTACTCTGGCTTCTGTGGCCAGGATACATTTTAGAGGCAGCAGCAGAGACACCAAGTGGAAGCTAGTTTAGAGGAATAATTATAGTGACTTGCTTTGGATCATGCCAGAGGAATGTGGCAAGATGGAGGAATTTGGGATATTAATGCATGTTGAATATCCTTGATGGTGAAACTAAAAATTTATAACCAGTGCCCATAAGGACAGGGCATTCTTGTGGGACAGTCTATGTTGTTTTTACCTTGGGACCTGAAGTTTTAGTCATAACTTGGCTAGATAATATTCAATATATAATTTGCCCTTAGAAGGCCTTTATGTTCTCAATTAAATTATAAAATATGTCACCTATGTCTAGTAAGAAAGAGGGGGCTGAGAAGGAATCCTTTGGCCAATATGATTGGGCCATTTAAGGTCATAGGCTCATCCTGGGATGGGTATCAGTTTCCTGACTCAAGAGTGGGTTAGACTTACTAGGATTTCCCCAGTGAACAGGACAGGGTAAATAACTGGATAAAATCAGGGTTCTAAAAGGAAAGAAGGAAGGAAGAAATATCATTGGGGAGGTAATCAACAACATCTAGAAGAATTACTTAACATTCGTTTTCATGTTTTAATAAAATTAGCAAATTATGTTTGCATTTTAAGATCTTTCACAGCAAAAAATCTGGTGTGAATAATTTTTTAAATACTAACAACTTTTTCCTTTGTCAGAAAAAAAAATGTAGTGAAGAGAATTTTTAGAAACACAGCTATTCGAATTAACTTCAAATATCTTAAATCACAGGAATGTGGTAGTTTAATTTTCTACCCCAAGCTAAAGGAAATCTTGTGAGACAGGTATAATGTGTATATCGTGAACTCTTGGAATTTGAATAAGTTGTCTTACTTGATTTTCACATTTTGATATGTTTTCCCTTCCAATCCCAACTACTACTTTTCTTTAAATTCCTGTTAGACTTTTCTTCTTTTGCAAAATAATGTCATATTTATTGCGTGGTAGGACTCATTTTCTATTTCTCCATAATGACATTAGCAGGGATTCTTTGAGGCATTTGATATAAGAGAGATTCCAAGGAAAATAATGTGTTTCAAAAGGGCATGGTCTGAACTTTATTGATAATGCTTCATGCAAGATATTAGATGAATTTGGTAATTATATAGTGTAGACAAAGGTGAAACTTATGGCCATGATAGGTATTGATTTTGATTGGGGTCAGGCTGCAACTTGCAATTAAGTCTACAGGCAATCTTCTATTCAAATGGCAATGCCTGGACACCAAAATAACACTAATTCATATCAATTGTATACACAAGCATGATACTTCTTATTTTGCTCAAAGTACCTTAATTTTAAACAAATTATTATCTTATTTATTTCCCTAAAAACCTTATTTCATCATTAAATGTTTTCTATAGATTTTCCTCTAAAAGCACTCTTCTGATAGATTATTACTATAGCTAAGTTCAAAGGTACAGGGATTTATTAAGTTGCTACATTCTTTATTCATTATGTGCATGAATCTGGGGTGGAAAGGAATACCTCTAACTATGAAGTAGGTTCCTATTAAGTCTTAAAGGTACTGATATTTGACAGCTGGCAAGGATTCTATTGGAGCAGAAAATGATGCATTTTGACCAGTACAGCTTATACTTATTTTTAGAACATGAATGTTGTCTCAAATATTCTCCTGAATAGAATTTACTCAATCCACAGAAATAATAATTTCACAACTCCAAATACAG